GAATTAAATGGCATTATTTAATTTTCGTAAAGATTGGAACTGGATGGTCTAAATCAGGTTTTCGTGGGGGTTGAAATTTATTTATTCTTCTTTATTACGCCGTCTCCTTTACAGGAGGTTGACGACATTTTATGAACAGAATCCTTCTATCCTTTCTCGGACTGGGACCTGTTCATATATGTTTTTTAAGCAGGTGATACAGAAGTGCCTTCTTCTGTGTGTGTGGAGTTATGGAGTAATTGTTGGGATGCCACGGAGAAACCGGGGAAGCCCCGGAGGAAAACTCCGTGTTGCCTAGACCACGGTCTTGCCCAACACAAGTTATAAATTCGGGCACCGCCGGGAATCGAACCCGGGACCCCAGGGAAATTTATTTACCTATATTTTATATGCTAGTAATTCTAAATTATTGAACTAAAACATAAATATAGGAAAAATAACACGGCACTTCTTTTAAATGCAAGGAAATCTACAGGTCTGAAATTAACCGAGCCTATCAGGAGACCAGAATCTGCAATGAGGCAGTTATATTACTAGCTTATATAACAGTTTATTTGAAAATGTGTCTGGGAACTACAACAGCATGAAATTTAGCTCGAACACTGGAGATATATGATGAATTTTGTCGGAAGAATATATTGAAAATACACCACTTGGAAGACTAAGAAGTAGATGGAAAGAATATGTTGAGATATGTCTTAGGTATAGACGTTTTAAAGATGAGAGATAGGCGGACCTAACTTCGGCTTTTGTTAATTGGCATCTTGTAGTATTAGCGTTACTTAATATTTAAGTTCTATAACTAAAAATAGTATTTAAATAAACATAAACAGATCTTGCATGCAGTTCTTGGTGTGGGCAGGAAAGACTTCTCAATGGCCGTGATTGGTTACGGGTCGGATGACCGTGTTTCGATTCTGGGCAAGGATAGGAATTTTTCTATCCGCCACCACTAAGATATATCCTGATAGTTTTAAATAGCCCATCCTGCCTACTAGCCAATGAATACAGGTGAGGAATTCCCTTTTTCGTGGTTAAAGAAATTGAAGTTTGTAGCTGAACACCTCTACCTAGTGTCGAGAGTTAAGACTGCATTGGAGTCCGCCATATTTTCTGTCTTCGTGGCAAGGTGCTTAGACACAGAGGAAACTTTTGCTGTCAGACTGCGGTATCGTTGAAATCAGTTTGCAGGAGTATGATTAAACGCGTTTCAGTTGTTTTCCGGATACACAGAAGGATTTGCCATCTACTGAGTCTGTTTGTTTTCATCCATGCTGGAATTTAAGGCTGACATTTCCCTAGAGAAGCCGGGAAATGGGAAGCATAGGGATGGGTTATACTGGTGTTGTGTTGGTACGCTACAGTGGCGCTGCGTATGCGGTGGGAAAGGAAATGTGGGTTAGAAGCTGTTTGTCGCTGCAAATACGGTATGGGACGCCACGCGAGTGTAATTGTATGTGTTACTATGTGGTGGTTTCTTAGTTTCAACCATGTCTGTATGTGTCTGTCACACACAAGCACTTCAATTTCGACCTAATATTTATATTTTTCGTTCAATACTGTAAACAGTATGTATTTCAGGGGTAATAATTTCTTTAGCGTATATAGGCCTGTTCGATTTTTAAATTAATAATTTATTTCAGTAGCAACAGAGTAATATTTATGTAACGTCAGCGAAAGTGCCCTTTCTTGTACTGTAATACTGAAATTATTTGTTTATTAAGACAATGTTATGGATTTATTTTCACATTTTCTGTTATTGACCACCGGCCACTCCATCAAAACATCGTATTAAAACTTTAAAATAGACCGCAACCATGTCCTCTCACATCTCCTCCACTCATATTTTGATTCATTATTCACATAATCTTTCCGTACCTTATTCGACACTCATTATTTGTCATAGTGTCGTAAAATAACCGAATAAAGACATACAAAACAATTTCTAGAAAGTATGTTTGCGTAATGTTGTACTAAAATACGCGACTGACATTTCTGCGCTATAGTCCGCTTTTCTCTTCCCATCTTCACCTCCCACTTCTCATACTCTTTGCATTATTTTTCTTATCCTTCCTACTTTACCTTTTCTTTTTATGTATGTTTGTCCTCCTTCCCTCCCGCACTCTTCTTTCGTTTCACGCTCATTCGTATTGTACTTTATGTTCCATTTGTACTCTTCATGTTATTAGCGTATTTCGTCGTTTCTTTATCTTCTTCTACGAACTTCAATATTCGACGAAAACTTGCGATAATTATCATGAGGCCCGAATTGTAAGCTAAGAGTAATGATTAAAATTTTGTTGTCATTTGTTTGCTTGCATTTATACCTCTATTTATAGTTCTCTTTCTTTTATATTTATTTTCCTATCTTAGTCACATTATTTTAGTTATGCATTAATCATGCCCTGCTCACGTAATACTTCAATTTTGATACTGATGTTGTTCTCCTCAGGAAATTTAAAATTTTCATTGTTGATCGGTCTTCAACGTCTTGTGTCCAGGTATCTCTTATCAGCATTTGTGGTCTCCCCAATGATCTTCAGCCATTCGGTTGCCAACGAATAATTTTTGCTATGCATTCAAAGATTATTATTTTTTTAGTCAGCTCTGCAATTTTCTACGAATTCCAAAAATTTTATTTTAAATTTCCATGTTGCCGGTGTAAACTGTTATTCACCTTTACACTACGAAGCTGCCAAACAACAGAGCACTTCCGACAATAATTGCAATGTGTTGACATCCCTGCTTGCCCGCAGTATGTGCAAGCGCCTCTACAGAAAGTGGCATTCTCTGTTGGCTAAAAGAGGAATTAAAGTGCGTTTGGGGCAGGGGGTATATGTGATGGGGGTCAGTTGGTGGGGTGGGGCACTGGCCTCTCCACTCCACAAATTGCCATGTATTGAGAGGGAGAGAGCTGAGACTGGCGTTTGAAGATTGTAATTTGCTTTGATCTTTCTCTCCAATCTAAATCACCCTCATTCACAGCACACCCTCCCAATCTCCCTTCAAGCCATATGCATCCATTCCATAGCTAGCTACCCTCTGCGGAAGGAGGCACAGGAAATCCATTCCTACAGCAGGTACCTATCAAATATGAGACACTTGCATTATTCATCCGACAGCTAAGTCTTTCATCTCGTATTATGGAATGAACATCTTCATTACATACCCAGGACATTGACAGCAGAAAACGGAGATGTTCAATGTAGCTTAAGAGACAAATCAGCTAGCTCACTGGTTCATTGACTGATTTAAGTAAACAACCATGTTACTGATTGGCTTACAGCGTAGTAATTTTCTGACCGACTGAGTCGTCGACTATCTTACTAAGAAACAAAATATCAGTCTCGGCTGATTGTTCTACAAAGTAACTGATTTAGCGATTGAATGAGTCTTTACTAAGTAACTACTGAATAACTCAGACTAAGGAAGTGACTGACTATTGCGCTGTATAATCGGACGATAAACCGAACTGAATGTGTCCTTACAACCTCAAATAGATGGAGATGAGTCATCAGCCTCGCGCTCCGGTCGCTCTGTCCCTGTTACCGTCTGGCTGAAAGTAGATGGCGCAAAGAGCAGTCTGACAGGGAAAAGTCCTTGGAATTTCAGGAATACGACCCAGTGACATTTCTGAATTAGACGAGCATCCGTTCTGGCGCGTGTATGCGTGTACGCACGTACGCATGCAAGAATGTTTGCATGTATTACCTATATTTGTGTATGTACTTAGATTTGTGTGTGTAATATTTGTTTATGTGTATACATTTTAGACCTGTCTAATAATTCTGCGAAACACAGAACTGTAGTTTTCAAGTCCTTCGCCGTGTAATTAAAAATAGGAACTGCGCGGAGCACAGTAATTAAGCCACACTGTGGCGTACAGCCCAGACATCTTCACAGAGTGCTTCCATTAACTTATTCCGCGTCCTGTTTATTACTGGATGTATACTGCTTATATTTCTGTTATTTTATGCTTGCATAATCTCAACTTAGTTTGTTTCAGTCTGAATGTCTGTACACAAGGAAAATACCGTCACTCATATTTAGACTGCACGTCTGTTCCAAATGCATTCGCTAATCTACATTCCTAATTAGCTTTGGTGTTCATTAATTATGTCTAGACAGCTTGGAGTTGCGAAAGTAACATTTAAATATTCATTTTATTTTATAATAGGGCAATCCTCATTACTATGTGTTAGTCATAAATTATAATAACCGTTGCCTTGATAAAGCTGTGAAGGGATTTTGGACCTTATGGAATACTTTTTTATGTCTCTGTGTGTTTTATGCGTAAATTATTATAACCTTTAGGGTGTTTTGGTCTTAAAGTTGCACGACTGACCTTAAAGGCACCATCTCCGTCTGGCTGGCATTTGCCATGGCCCTCAGTTCTTTTATCAGTGTATGACGATTATTACTGTTACGTGTTGAAGTTAATTCGTCTCTATATTAGAAATGGAAATCTACGAACATTTGACCTGTTCGCAGTTAACGTTTATTTTAAAATGAAAGGACAGTTTCGCCGCGGGTCCCACTACAATCATTAGCTATATGTGTAATTTCACTTTTTGGAGTATTGTATAGGATTTATGTGCAATAGGATGAACTCCTTAGAAAGAACGATGTGTGAACCCTTAGGTGCATTTTGACGTCTCTTAAATCTGTAATCATTTATTTCAGTTCAAAGATCACGTGTCTGTACCGCATAGGTGAATTAAAGATGGGCCGGCTAAGTTACGGGTTGAACTGGAGATACACCGACTAAGAAGTTATACTTAACACTCAGCTGGGTTCCTGTGACCTACTTCGTTAATTTACATAATCTTATCAGCACTGGCTTCTCATCCAAGGCTCATTCAGGAACACTGCTTCGAGATGGGAGAGTAGACTTTTGGAAATTCCACTACGGTATTGCCATATTACTTCGCGATTCAATTAAAATAAAAACCTTTCGTGTCCTGATGACCAAGGGATGTGTTAGAGATGTATGCAGTTACCTGGGATAGATGTGTGAGCTGAGACGATGCGTAGTATGACACTCGAGAAGGGCAGTACGTTGACGCCGGTTTGGAGTAGATGTGGTGGCTGTACCGACCGCTCCCATTGGTGGATGCAATATAAGTGGCGCTTCCGATATTTGTAGTGGCGTATGGACAAGGCGAAGGTGACGATCGACGTGACAGTGGCAGCGGAAGTTTGTGGAAACTTGCTATTGTTGCGTAACTTCCACTTCCCACGCTACCAGCGCGCCCGATGGAATCCAGGCGAATGAATACATTCGGGTTACTACCGTAAGCAGCGGTGGTGTAAGTTGTGCTGAAACAATGGTAAAAATAATTGTGGCAGTAATCATATTAGACTTAATTTCACGTGGCACCTGATTGGGAAGAGTCCACTTGCAAGATATTGCATTTCAGGTGAGGATAATACTAAAATGGATCACAGAGAAATAGTAGTGTGGGACTGAACTGAATTCAACTGGATCAGAATCTGGTTCAATGGCAGTATGTTTTTATTACAGTGATAATTTGTTGGATTAAGTAAAATCGCTTCATAATGCTTGACCACCGGACTAACAATCTGTTGAAAACAACTCCTCGCATTGGAATTAGGAGAAACAAGATGTAGCACACCTTTCGGCTGACCTGACGTATCATCCACTGAAGATACTACACGCTTAGAAGCACATGCAAATTGAAAGCTGCTTTTGTTACTGAAACGTCAGACCGGAGACTAAATAGTTCATATTCCAATGTTAAATTACATTACCTAAATGCATCTTAGGTTTTCATAAGTACTGTGCACGAAATGTGCAAAGTGAACCCATTATGGAAGGCTCTTTCTTTTCGTCAGATACGTCATCTCCAAAAAGTCTGGATGCAATCCGATAAATGTGGTACTGGGGTCCTAGATCTTTTTCATTTTTGGGCCGTACCGGTCTGCCGTAAAGAATTCTTTATATAGTCTCAAAAGATACTTGTGTATGTTTCTTAAAAACGACTTGTTATATAAATAAGTACACGATTTACAACGCAAAATGAAAGAATGTCGTATTTGGAAAACATTGTGCTCCAAAGTGAAATGGGTCCACATATTTCTAGTCGTTACATAAATAAATTGAAGAAGTGCACTAAATTAGAACAGTTTAATCTTTCAAACGTATACACACATACACGTGTTTAGCCTTTTAAACACCCTGCACGTGCTTATATAAGAAAGAATCAGATTTATAGAGCCATGGGATTAATACAACATAAAATGTTTTAATCCTCATGAATGCGGTCCCACCAGCAAGGATTAAAACGACAATAAATCATTAAGATACTTATAAAAATGTCTTTTTCATAGATAAGCACATCTGACCACAGCTTTATTAGTTCATTTGTAAGGACTATAATGTAAAACCTTTCGTTTGCTGTAGTTTTATTTTTTGCCTGCAGCTTCGGTAATAACCACGGTCCAGTTTTACTGGAAACGACTGACAAATTCTACAGTGGTACAAAATGTAACAATATTTTCAAGGTAGCTGATGATATAATATGATTAGAGGTCATTGTCATGAGCCAACAATGTCTTGTTTGCCATTGTTGCAGCGATGTATTCCGGCAAAGACGTCGGTTACCATTTTTTGCAACAGTGTTTTCCAGTAGTGCGGATTTCCTAGTTCATAGGATAATCGCGGAGACAGGCCGATATGGACGACCGTCTGAGGTGTTATTCTCTCACGCTAGACCGTGAATAACACCCAAAAATCAGCATGAAAATGACTGAGAAGAGTTATTAAACATTTTATTCATGTTCGAAGGAAAATTTCGACGCGTGGTGATTTTTTAAAATAATCCCGCCATTTCAAGATTAAGTAAGTCATGTTTTATGGAATCGTAAATCACACTCAGGTGGACTCTGCAGTCAGCGATAGCCTACTCAGCATTCAGCTGTACGAGAACAGACAGCATAAACACCACAATCCTCGTTCTCAGCAGCTTAGCACAACGGCGATCTGTAGTCTATGCAAACAGGCATTAAAAGGGATCGTAGCTCACATTAAAATTGAGTTTTAAAATTTTGATTTGTTTAGACTGGCAGTATCGAATGATCACTGCAGCTGAGCCGACTTTAAACATTTTAATTCGACGTAGGATTTGAGATTTTCGCAATTCACATTGTCATTAAGACGTCTAGGGCATTATACCAGAAGCCTGTTTCAACAGATTTACATAATCGGAGATATTGGTCTGAAAAATAATATGGACGTATGTCACGCCAGAAGTGCGTAATGGTGATGCTGTTCTGTGCAATTACAGACACTAGGGCGTATGGACACTAAAATGCACAGATGTCAAACTAACAAAGCGCAAGAATTTTGACTCCTGCAAATTACCTACCTCGATGTATTTTACTATTATTAACCCATCTCCACCTAAGTCTTCCTTCAGCTTTTACAAATTATGAAGCTCATTACGTGTTGAAAGCATTCAGATGTTGGTTGAATAAGCGAGAATTGTAGTCAAAGGACTGTAATGTATCACTTTGCTTCCAGACGTGAAGTTACAGAATGTGGGGTGTGTAAAATAATTTGTTCTCTCACAGCCAGAAGTGCTGAGCTTCATCGGCCGCTGTAACTCCGGGGGAAAAAAAAATGCCGGGGGGGGGGGGGTTAGTAAGTTTTGAAAGGGTTAAGAGGAACGGCTTTGCTTGTTGGAGGGTGGTGTATTATTTAGGTAGACCCATGTGACATTCTTTATAGGGGCGATTATGGGGGATTCAACTCGTGATTACTGGTCAGCCGCGGGGGAAGGAAAAGAAAAATTAGTACATGGATTGTGAATATGAGCTAGCGGTGGACCGCAGTGGTTAGGTAACATGACTTGATAAACCTTTCTTTTTCTCTAACTGTCATTCCCTTTGTCTTTATTATTCTCAGTCTTTCTTTATTATCTTCCCTTCCTTCTTCATTTCTTCTATCTCTCCTTTCTTGGCTATTCATAAGGGCGATGTTCTCAAGAAATTGAACATTTCTGTCTGCGGTCGGAATGTGTCCGGCCCGCAGTCTTGCAATCTGTGTCCAGGTACCCACGCCCTCTGCCCTTACTGAGATCAGCAATAACATAACGACCCCAGCGTGCTGATATTGAAAAGAAAATAATAAAGGCCAAGGGAAAATATACCCCTCTGTCACTTTTGTAAAGGAAAAATGGCCTATGTCCCGCGGTGTGTACTCTCATGCATCAATGTCAACAAGGTCTAGCGATTAGCACATCTGCTTTGTACTTCAGGGATGTCTGGGAAGAATCTCTATGGATGTACCGGCTGTTCTTAGTTATAGTTTTGTGGTTTCCCACAATGGGGCGAAGCGGTTGGAAAAATAATCTACCTTAAAATAGGCCATAACTTCTTCTTTCCATATATTTGCTCACTCATGTTTCCACCTGTTACGATGCTATAATTCCTGGTCACAACACCATCGCTAAATAATGTAATTAATTTGCCACAGTGTCGTCATCACAATCTATAATGTGGCAGACGGAGGAGCGCGTGGCAATAACGCAGCTTTACATCTCTTAACTCTGTGAGATTTCAGGTGCTTACAGCGGTGACTGTCTTCTGCGAGGTTCCACTGTTTATTAATCTTACATTTTTCACTTTTTTTGGGATCTACTAATGCATAGATGGATCAAGAAACTTTTATCTCGTTACTGGTTTTGACAATAGTGAATTTGCTGCCAGATCGGTCGATTTACGACCGGTAACAAACAGTAACTATAGTCGGCGCAGTTGTTTTTGGCCGGTGGAGAAGCTAGCGGAGCTGGCGGGCGGGCCTACTCTGTGAACCTGAGGTGGCACGGTCAGTGAATTTCTTTTGTTTGGGCGTTCAGTCCGATAAGCTCCTCGATGCAGTCAGCATTATACTATCGCACAAATGACTCGCTCCTAGCCTCCCCCTTGAAAATTCCACCGGCCTAAAACTACTGCGCCGACTATACGACAAAACTTCGCGTCATCGCTCTTTATGGACGGTACCTATGAATATATTGAATACGCAGTAACGAACAGCCGACAAGGAGTGGTCCACCAGTGTCGGGGGCTGGGCTGAGTACTCGCATCTATCACCACATTTACATAGTCTTGATCTAGGGCAGATTCTTTAGCACGACTTAAAAAATCAGATGGGCTGGATATGGAGAACGCATGAAGAAAATGATAATTGTACTGTACTGAATTTTAGTCAGATTCATGGAGGAACCTAGGCGAAGTAGGAAGGATAATATTATGATTACTCGCAAAGGAATAGGCGTGCGTTTAGTTTGAGTGGATTGGAAACACTTTACTTATGCTAGGGGCCGATGGCGATCTTCATTAAACGCAACTAGTTTATGGCACAGCTAAGCGACTGTTAGGTTCTTAAGAACGGTTATGTTGCAAACTAATGCATATTTTGTCTAAGACGGGACTTTGCTTTGCGGTTTTTTAACAGTGCGGAGGTTGGTGGCAATGATGTTTTAACAGCACTGTACAAACGTGTGTAAATGTAATTTGAATTCGGTACATATAATTAACTTAGGAACTTGTGAACTTACGCACTTGTTTGCTCTACAGATTGCCATGCAGCATGGCAGGGGAAGGATTAAGATAGGAAACGCCAAGGCAGGATATTGGTCTCAGATGAAACCAATATGACAGCTTAACACCAATGCTGAAGTGGGTAAAGCCCAGTATCAGCTCCAGTCGTTCGTGGGGGACGTGGGTTGGGCTGAGATTTGTAACAGACACAAATCTGGTGGGTACTATGTGGTTTTGTTTGGGTTTCAATTTTCGCTTGTACCGGCTTCATAAGCGTTCTCAGGCAAATTCCATGTTAATAAATTAAAAAGACCAGAATTAATTTATGATTATTTTGTTATGTTACATATAACGCTGTTGAAAGCTAATCGCCATTTTGCAAGGGTTTTCCTTGAAAAGTTGACATTCGCTCAGATCTACAAGAAGTAACCCGTCTTCTTGAGATTAACTCTAAGATTATTTCAGTGTTCACAACAAACTCGTCACTTGACCATAAACTAAATAAGATTAATCTATTTCACATCTTTATAGTAAATTTTCAAAAATCAAAGTTAATATTATCCTTCTATCTACGCCCAGTTCTCCCAAATGGTATTTTCCCTTGAGCTTATTATTCTTCACTACATAACCTTATCAAGCATGAAGACCTTTGTGACATTTCATAACAATCTAGTAATTATCCTCTATGGATCAAAAGTATTGTTATAACTCATACAAGAGTCGAATAACAAACCACATTTAATCATGTTACATACTCCATTTTGTTACAGTACGGGTGAGAGAAACGAAATGGATATGTAGGTTGCTTTCTGGTGCGTTTTTATTCAGATTATGTACAGAAGTCGTATGAAATTTACTGTCTGTCGTTTTTCAAATAGGGGACGGATGGAGAAGCATTATGGGGCCGCGTGGCAAAGTGATACAACACAAGGA